GAGGAGCCTTGGTGAGAGAGGTACAGAAGAACCCAAAGATGACTGTGGCTGAGCTCCAGAGATGCAGCCGAGAGATGGGAGGAAGTTGTAGAAAGTCAACCATCACTGCAGCCCTCCACCAGTCGGGGCTTTATGGCAGAGTGGCCCGACGGGAGCCTCTCCTCAGTGCAAGACACATGAAAGTCTGCATGGAGTTTGCTAAAAAACACCTGAAGGACTCCAAGATGGTGAGAAATACGATTCTCTGGTCTGATGAGACCAAGATAGAACTTTTTGGCCTTAATTCTAAGCGGTATGTGTGGAGAAAACCAGGCACTGCTCATCACCTGTCCAATACAGTCCCAACAGTGAAGCATGGTGGTGGCAGCATCCTGCTATGGGGGTGTTTTTCAGCTGCAGGGACAGGACGACTGGTTGCAATGGAGGGAAGGGTGAATGCGGCCAAGTACAGGGATATCCTGGACGAAAACCTTCTCCAGAGTGCTCAGGACCTCAGACTGGGCCGAAGGTTCACCTTCCAACAAGACAATGACCCTAAGCACACAGCTAAAATAATGAAGGAGTGGCTTTACAACAACTCTGTGACTGTTCTTGAATGGCCCAGCCAGAGCCCTGACTTAAACCCAATTGAGCATCTCTGGAGAGACCTGAAAATGGCTGTCCACCAACGTTTACCATCCAACCTGACAGAACTGGAGGGGATCTGCAAGGAGGAATGGCAGAGGATCCCCAAATGCAGGTGTGAAAAACTTGTTGCATCATTCCCAAAAAGACTCATGGCTGTATTAGCTCAAAAGGGTGCTTCTACTAAATACTGAGCAAAGGGTCTGAACACTTATGACCATGTGATATTTCAGTTTTTCCTTTTAAATAAAAATGCAAAAAGGTAAAAAATTCTGTGTTTTTCTGTCAATATGGGGTGCTGTGTGTACATTAATGAGGAAAAAATGAACTTAGCAGATTTTAGCATATGGCTGCAATATAACAAAGACAAAGACAACAGACAAACAGATAAATATAGTCGGATTAATGGTAAACATGGTTTGGAGGTTCATGTTTGTACTTCCACAAGTCCAGGATTAGAAAAACACAATATTATAAAAAAATAGCAAGAACAAAAATAGGGATGAACAACCAGCCCCCCAGGCTAAAGTCCCTTGCAGCAGAGGTCAGTGTAAACAAAAACTAAACCCCCACTACCTCAGTATCCCTTCATCTGACACAAACATACAGGCCCCCGCCCCCAGTCTCTAGGCCCAGTAGTCAATCCATCCCAGCACGCACCAACTCCCAGCAACAGCACCCAGCTCCAGTAGCAAGACACCCCCAAAGTCAACCAACTGGTCAACCACAAGCAGGTGACCATGAACAATGTCTCATCTTCCAATTATTTCCACCTCATGTCCTAAGAAAATATCCTGACACCATCTGCACTGCTTTCCCCTACTGAGACAAGACTTTTCCTTTTCGCCAAAAATTAATTACATCATTAATAACATCATTAGTTTCTAACCTCAGTTCTTGATATATCAAAGTCTGTATTCATTAAATGTTTTATTATTTTGGTGTCTACAAATACTTGATTTGACCTCTCAAGCACCTTTGACCTGGATGACAATTTTAAAGGAAGCTCAAGAAAAATGGTTTTATGTTTTGTTTTGTTAAGAGGAGCTAGTTCCTTTCTTACTGACCTGAGATGGGATCTCTAGCTGGGGTTCAAACATCGTGGAGGCTGAGAGCTCAGCTGTGGGGAAGAAGAGGCTTTCTTTTTTCTTTGACAGAGCAGATTCTGCTACATGATGTGGGAGGGATGGGAGTACTGCTGGCCTGCTGATGACATGGAGAGGAGGGGGTCAGAGCTCAGGTTCTCACTGATGCTCTGTCTTTGATTACACTAATCATCATAATCGAACAATATAAACACTACTGCTGCAGATAAATCGTAATCTCCCTCAATGGAGCTCTTCTCACCTGACTTGTCAGCAGGTGGAGTTGCCAGCTGTGGCTCCGCTGCAGGCTGTGCTCTAGGCTGTAGACCCCAAAGGGCCACGGGGAGCTGGTATATCACTGTCGCTACCCTACCCTCTCCTCTTCTCATCCCTGTCTCACTTTGTACACCCATGCTTTACAATTTTGTCTTCCTCTTTTCTGCTGTTCCCCAGCTTCCTTTCCTCTCTCCACCTCCCTTTATTTCTGTTTGTTCTTTTTGCTAGTAAAACTTTCATGAAAGTGCAACCTGCATTTAACCATTGGTGAATTGCAGTCATTTTGTTCCATTAAGATAATTACTATAAACAAACATAACCATTATAGGAGGACCTGCATCTCCTGCTGGCCTCCAAGAAAACTGTTGTACTACACTGTGCCGGCTGAGGAATAGAATGATTTTCTTTTGCCCTAAACTGAAACAAAAGCATTGAAAGGTGAATGATGGAGAAAGTTGCTATCAACATGTTTATCCAAAAGGTTGGGAAATGTGTAATTACTGCCTTCCTTGCATTTGAGCAAACATGATCAGTGGAGTATTTAGTTGTATCTAAATGTGATTGGAGTAGATAGTATTCTCACCATAAAAAAATTGCTAATTACTAAACTAAACTCCCTAAAATACCTTCTGACATGCATGCCAACATTACTCAATTTTTTGTGGCTGGAGTGATACTGAATTTCTCTTACTGGACCTCATTAATTGGAGTGATGACCATCTCTCCCTCAGCCAGAGCATCGTTCCCACCTGCTTTAAGACCACAACCATCGTCCCCCTTCCCAAGAAGAGCCCGGTCACCTGCCTGAACGACTACAGGCCAGTGGCAGTCACCCCAGTCATTATGAAGTGTGCTGGCCCACATTCAGAGGAGTATACTGGGCACCCTGGACCCCCTGCAGTATGCCTACCGGCCCAACAGGGCCACCTCAGATGCCATCGCGGCTGCCCTCCACTATTCCCTTTCTCACCTGGAAAATGGAGACTCCTACATCAGGATACTCTTCATTGACTACAGCTCCTCCTTCAACACAGCTGTCCCCCACAAACTCACCCACAACCTGTCCACACTAGGTCTGCACCCCACCCTCTGTGACTGGCTCCTGGACTTTCTGACTGGCAGGCCCCAGACTGTCAGGATTGGCAACAGGACTTCACCAGAATTGTTACAAACACTGACACCCCACAGGGATGTGTCCTCAGTCCCATCCTCTACACCCTGTTCACTCACGACTGATGATACTGTCCATCCTGAGGCTGTAGGTGCAGTCTTTGTGTCCGAGTAGAGTCTGGGCTGGGTGCCGTGGATCCGGTTACAGGGGGGAGTTGGGACATCGAGGTCTGTCGTCTTCCCTGTCAACCTGCCTGGGCGAATGGTGTTGAATGCAGAACTGTAATCCAGGAAGAGCATCCTAGCATACGTACTGCTGTTGTCCAGGTGTTTCAGAGTATGGAATAAAGCCAGAGCTGTCACATCATTCACCGATCTGTTGGGGCGGTAGGCAAACTGGAGCGGGTCTACAGTGTGGCCCGGGATCATGTGGTTAATGTGTGTGAGGACCAGTTTCTCTAAGCACTTTATGGCGACTGATGTGAGCACCACTGGCCTGAAGTGATTCAAGGTGGATGTGTCTGATGTCTTAGGGAATGGTATGATGATGGATTTTTTGAAATGCAAGGAACTACTGCTTGTGTTAAAGACAGGTTGAAGACGTTGAGCCTGTGGGGATCAACTAGCTAGTTGATCCCCACAGGCTCTCAACACTCTGAGGGGGACACCATCTAGTTCCGCCACCTTATGGGAGGTTTACCTGTTTCAGGGCCTTCGAGACCTGTGTGTGTGTGTCACCTGAAAAGTAGTGTCCCCTGGTTCACAGGGGGATTTTGAGGGGGTGTCTGTGTTCATCCTGTCAAACCTCGCATAGAAGTTGTTGAGGCTGTCCGGGAGGGTGGTGTCCTGGGGGGCTGTGTTTGTTGATTTGTTCCTGTAGTTTGTGACTGCCTGGATTCCCTGCCACATACTCTGCATGTTGTTATTCATATAGTAGCTCTCCAGTTACTATATGACCTAAAACTGTGCATGAACATCTAACTTCTAACTGAAGCTGCATTTGACCTTCTTTCACCCTCACATTCCATCATACTGGCTACTGCTCTGGTTCTGTTATCTACTCATATTGCAAGACACCTTTTCAGCTTGACTATAAATGTTGTCACATTTTAATATCACAAAATCTTGTGGCACGAGATCTCATTACACCCCTACTGACTTGTAAACTTGTTTTTATCCACACACCTACACATGCAGATGCCCACCCAACCACTCACCGACACACATACTATCACACACTTGTTTTCTCTACACTGCCCAGGGAAGAAAGGAGGCTTTAACAGTGATTGTGGAACATCAGTCAACCAAAAAAAGAATCTTTTTGGCATATCCCAAACTGAGGTTCCTGAGTGTACAAGTGTGTGTGTCTTTAAAAGAGAAAGAGACAAAATGATGGAGAAGTGGAGAAAATGCAATAAAGGCTCTTATTAAACCAGAGAGGGGGTACATTTGGACTTTTCAATCTAGACCTAATCAACTACTGTGCCACACTAAATTTATCATGTGTCTTCCTGCTTTTTGGCTAAATGATTACATCAGATGCATTATGATAGGCAATGTGTTGTGCAGTCCACAAGGTGGTTGTAAAGCTACAGAGAGACTATAGAGAATGCTGGGTGCTGTACAGGCTGAGATTCCCCACTAGAAAGACAGATGGCTATTATAAAACAGCACAGGGCCAGTTTGTCCTGATAAGAGACATGTTTTGTCCAGGCTCTTAAGCCTTTAAAAATTGAATACATTTTGTTGTTCTTAGATGAGAATACTCACCCTCAGTCATGTCACTTTGTCAGTGTTGGCCTTTTCTGTGACACTGTTTCTTTTTCTCCCTTTATATTCATCAGTTTAGTGACAAATTGCTTCTTCCATCTATCCCTCACTCTTTCTGTCTTTTTCATTCCACAGGGAGATGAAGTCCTGACTGTCATTAAAACAAAGGCTCAGTGGCCAGCGTGGCAGCCGCTCAACCTGTAAGTAGTGCTCAGTGTCAGTTTCATCAAAAAGGAGAAGGCACTTCTGTGAAAGATATGACTGAAAATTACAATGAGAAAAGGCTGTGAAGCAACAGTGTTAGAGTAAAGCTGAAAATAAAAAGTTTGTTTTTTCCAGCTGTGACAGTGCCGCTGACATTAGTGTTCTCTGGGTTATGTAAATGGTGGCACTGGCAATCTGATTGGTTAAATATCTGGGTGGACAGGCACAGATATTGATAATTTCAGTTAGTTCCACTGGTTGCATAGAGAGTTAACTAGTTTGTTAGCCGTTGTGTATTCCCTCCATAGATTTTTTTTGTCAGGATCGCCGTGTCAAGCTACCGATAAAGTCGAGGGTGAACTCAATTATATAGCCAGACGAGGATAAGTAAAACGCTGTCTCTTTAATAAGTGCACTGGTCAGACACAAATGATAACACAAGGCCGGATACTTACAGTACTTAATACAGTCCAGGGTCAGAGCCAGCAAACTTACACAGCCGAGGGATCCACAAACGAGAGGTCAGAGAGGAGAGTCCGATAGTCGATACACAGAAACACAAGCAGAATCAGAGGGGTTAGGCAGTACTCAGTGGTCACAAGGTAATCCGTGGTCAGAGCTGGAATAACAGGTACAGAAAAAACACTGGAATGTCTGAACAGGAGTTAGAACAATCTGGCAGCTTCTTGGTGTGGGGAAGCTGCCTATAAAGAAAGTCTCGGCTTTTCCTGTTTAGGGGTTGCCACAGCAAATTGTCACACTGACTACTCGCATGCTGACATTTGGCATGTGTTTTACACTGGATGCCCTTCCTCATGCAACCCTGACTTGAACGCGGGCCACAGCGGCAAGAGCACGGCGCCTTAACCACTAGCCTACCAGGGACAGTGTGGAGAAGCTGCCTATATGCTGTTGTAAACAGGTGTATGTAATGAGAGGCTGGTGAAACCAATGTGGGTGATGAGCTAAAGTTCCTGGGAGTCAGGGTGAGCTGGGGACAGGAAGTAGTGTCAAAATAAAAGCAGGAGACCAGAAGCAATGGGACAGAATTGTGACTTTTTTTTACCTACATACTGTATACTACTCCATGTCACAAAGTGATGTGGTTACATGCCTCCTTGTTGTAACCTTTACCAGTCGGTCACCACATCTGGACCTGTGACAAGAAGACAGCTAATGCTAACTAGAGCTCCTTGTTTTAGTCTAAGAGCTACATGAAAGGAAAGTCTAACTATTAGCAAGCTTAGGTAACTAGCTTCCACTAACAGCACAGTTGGTCATCTAAAATGCTCACTGTTGCAAAGTGACACACTAACAGTAGAGTACATAACTAACACTGTGTGGAAGAATGAAAGCAATAGTTTGGGTGTTTTCAATTTGAGCAACATGACCCATTGTTTCTTTCATTCACGTTGTTTCTTTAGCTCATCCCAGCAGTGTGAATGTGAGGATGAGGCTCTACAAAACAGTGTCAATCTGAGGAGAATGCAGCTCATGACACACAGCATCACACCTGTCAAATGTGTAGAATAAAAGAAAACACCTGGCACCCAGTGGCTGCTGCTTTAACATGTAATACATGACACTGGAGTGTGACTGATCAAAATAAGGCAAACAGACAGAACAGAATGGAGGGGAGGGAGCAATAGAAACAGATATAACTATTCTGAATAACATCTACAGCCTTAATAGTTTCTGAAAAACCACTGGTACAGTAAGTCTGATGTCCTTTTCTTTCTTTAATGTGGCTGAGGGATCACATGCTTCTCTATAGGTTCAGTTTTATAAAATATTTTGGCCTGGTGCTCACCCATAAAACAAGGCTGTTTTCTGTTCATGAAAAGTTGATACTTTAAAAGCCCACAAACCAATATACCATTTCTTCTGTTAAGCTGCCCGAGCATTCCTCCAAACCATAATTATTTTCTACTTTATGTAAAGCATAACACAATCTGCTAGGCTTGAAGTAAACAAAGATATAAAAGCTCTTGTTCAGTGATCTGCATATTGCAATATATTACAAATACTACATTAAGATAATATAGGATATATGGAGAAATCAACAGAAAGAGAAAAGATATTTTATTTCTTTGTTACAAAAATCCCTGTCCTTGACATGAATCACTATGCCTACATCTTCATCATAGACAGTATCAAATGCTTAATAATCTTGTATTATACAGAAAAGGAACTGAAGCAGAAAATGAAAAAAAGTTTTACTTCTGACCCAAACAATAAACTGTAAACTATCATGACAATTCAGATACTGATATTGTATTAAATAAACTTATTCTTAATTGTTTTATGTCTTCCTTTATATGCCTTTTAAAAGCCAGGTTGACTTGTCTGAATTGTTGCATGCTGTGATATCCTGTACAGTCTTTTAAATTAGAAAGCAATTAGAACACACACACATGGCCATGAACACACACACACACACCCACACACACACACACCCACACCCACACACACACTAATGTATTGTATCTTTCACCAAACATCTGTTAATTATTCCTCTTAGCATTGTCTGTCATGTGCAATATGTTGTGCCACTATTATTTTTACTAATGAGAACCTTCATACACACCCACTCATAAACCAACACTTTGACTATGAAGTATTAGCTTATTTTGCTCAATTTTAAATGCTGAGTTGTCAAGTTGTCCTTAAAGGGTTGTGTTTACACTGTATTTCTTGGACAGGATGTAATAATTAATACCACAGACATTTCATTGGAAAGAAACTTCAAATTATCATATTATTATATTCAAAATGCAAAGAGATTATGCTATAATGAGCTATCTTCTATTCTGCCATTAATTGGATATTTCAGAGCTTCAGTTATCCTACAATTAGCAGAGTGTGACTCAGGTCAGAGGACATAACATTATAACTGGCCAATTTTCAAGTAATTCATTAAGAATTGATTTTGTAGATTGCTGAGATTATGTTACAAACATACTTAGGGATGCCTCTTTAAAACAAATATAGTAGGCCCTATATCTGGGGTGCCCACACTTTTTCGCCTTGCAAGCTACTTTTCAAATGACCAAGTCAAAATGATCGACCTATACTAAAAATACTACACACAGAATATATGTATGAATGAGTGTCGTAGTTTTTATGAACAGTCTGAAAGTGCCACTCCACATTTCCTTCAGAATAGTGATGGTAGATTGGTAGATCAAGCAAACGCATTTCGAATATAACGTCATGAAAACAAAGTCCTCCTCCCATTCCACGGGGAATGTTTTCGGTACGTTTTCGGTTTCTTACTTGATTTGGCTCTCCCACTCATTTTATACCCTTTAGTAGAAATTAATTCGAAGGCTGACAAGGTAGTTTGCTCACTGGAGTTTTGCAGTAGCTTGTTCAGTTGACTGTGCATGTTTGGTGACTTGTGTGTCAGAAAAGACAAGATCTCAGACTGGCTGACCTGCATGTCAATCAAGTAGCAAATGCCATAGGGAGGCTGGATGATAGGCTATATTTGAATAATTGTCACTTTCTGCTTTTCCCGTTAGGGGTCGCCATAGCGAATCGTCACACTGACCATTTGCATGTTAACATTTGGGACGTGTTTTACGGATACATCTAATTTATTTTTGAATGGCACGCGATTTACCAACACTACCTTTGTGATTGACATATTGGGCACCCCTACCCTATATGTTCTTTCTTTTTCTATTTTTGGCTTATTTTTCATTGCCTTCTCCACCACCATTTCTAGGCGAGCAGCTCCATCGGCTGAGTTTTCTGTGGATCGGACTCGTCACCTGATGTCCTTCCTCACCATGCTTGGGCCCAGTCCGGACTGGAACGTGGGGCTTTCAGGGGAGGATCTCTGCACCAAGGATTGTGGCTGGGTGCAGAGGGTGGTGACAGACCTCATTCCCTGGGATGCAGGCACTGATAGTGGTATCACATATGAGGTAATTATCTGAATTTATCAAATATGTGGCAGAAACATGGGCAGTTTGTTGTCTAGTAGAGGCACTGCGCTTATGTCACACTTTTCTAGAGCTGTTGCCATGAAGGGGGACCATGGAGAAATTATAGCATAATAAGCTATGAGAAACACCAAAAAGTCTAGAGTTCGTGGCCATAGGTCACATAATTTTCAGCAGCTCTACCACAGAATGTGTAGCAAAAGCAGCACGTTAGCAGCATGTCTGTAAATGTGAAGCACAAGAGGCGTGCCTGTGTAGACAGCAGAATGATTTGAACACAAGCATCTTTGTACTGCCAATATGTACTTGAGATGGACAACTGAAAAAGATTGCAAGCCAGTGGCCATTTATGGTTAATGAAACCCCTTCACACCCAGAAAGAGAGTGTAATAGTATCTTTTCACCAACAGGGACCTTCCTTCACCAAGTACGTAATAAGTATAAGTATAAAGTATAAGGATAGAGAATGCTTATGAACTTGATGGTTTTGAGGACAGCTAAGAAGGTCCACACTGCTCTTGGGTACTGGCAGACCCCAACAAGAATAGAATGAAAAAGATGGGAGGGTAATGAAAAGCCAAAGCAGACGTGGTTTCAGAGGGTTTAAATATTATGAAAATGAAAGAGGTGTAGCTCAGGTCCGGTCCATTTGTGCCATTACACAATTAAATAAGTAATTTAAAAAAATAAAGTGAAAGTGAAGTGACATGGTCTGGTATTTCTAAGCAGACATATCTATAGTCTTTAATAAAGATATTTGTAACTAATGGTACCAAGCATTAGCAAGGATCCAGCTTAATACTAACATTAAACATTAGTCATCTTATGTGCTGTTAACGATTAGCTTGTGAATCAAGCAACAATACCATGACAAGCTCCATTTTCCTGCAGTAGGAGGCAGTAGTAAACATGTGTCTAAACCATTGAGTCTATATAAAAACTGGACAAACCCACTGTTTGCCTATGAAGAGCTGTTTTGAAGTCTGGCCATATGTGAACCTTTTGAAATTTCATGGTTTTCTGCATTAAATTGTCATAAAATGTGATCTGAACTTCATCCAAGTCAAGAGTACTAACAAAAAATAACGTGCCTCACATAAGCATATTCTTCTTGTGTGGAGCAAACTCAAAAGGTTTGAGTGGTTTTTATCAGTCAAAGTAGCTCTAGTCCACGCCTCCAAACTAATTTTCTTAACAAGACTCCAGGTATGCTAACACCGGACTCCAATTAGCTTTTTTGAGGTCATTAATTCAAGGGTTCACATACTTGTTCCACTAGCACTATGAGGTTTTTATGGTTGTTCTCAATAAAGACATGAAAGATCAGACTTTTTTTGTGTTGTTATATTAGGCACATTCGTCAGCACTCTTGACTTAGATGAAGATCAGATCACATTTTATGACAAATTAATGCAGAAAATCATGAAATTCCAGAAGGTTCACATACTTTTTCTCGCCACTGTATATATATATATATATACAATATATAAAATTCCACACTTGCCCCACTTTGGGGTGGTCTTGTATTCCTTCCTTCAAGCTCGGGTCCTCTACCAGGGGCCTGGGAGCTTGAGGGTCCTGCGCAGTATCTTAGCTGTTCCTAGGACTGCACTCTTCTGGACAGAGATTTCAGATGTTGTTCCTGGGATCTGTTGAAGCCACTCTCCCAGTCTGGGGGTCACAGGCCCCAATGTTCCTATTACCACAGGGACCACTTGTGCCTTCACCTTCCACATCTTTTCTAGCTCTTCTTCCAGCCCTTGGTATTCCTCGAGCTTCTCGTGTTCCTTCTCCCTGATGTTGCTATTGTTTGGGATTACTACATCTATCACTATGGCCTGCTTCTTCTATTTCTCCTCCACTACTACACTATATTGCCAAAAGTATTCACTCACCCATCCAAATCATTGAATTCAGGTGTTCTAATCACTTCCATGGTTACAGGTGTATATAATCAAGCACCTAGTCATGCAGACCCTTTCTACAAATATTTTTGAGAAAGAATGAATCGCTCGCAGGATGCCACCTGTGCAATAAGTCCAGTCGTGACATTTACTCACTACTAAATATTCCACAGTCAACTGTTAGTGGTATTATAACAAAGTGGAAGTGACTGGGAATGACAGAATCTCAGCCATGAAGTGGTAGGCCACATAAAATCACAGAGCGTGGTCAGCAGATGCTGAGATGCATAGCGCACAAAGTTCACCAACTTTCTGCAGAGTCCATAGCTACAGACCTCCAAACTTCATGTGGCCTCAGACTAGCTCAAGAACAGTGTGCAGAGAGCGTCATGGAATGAGATTCCATGGTCGAGCAGCTGCATCCAAGCCTTACATCACTAAGTGCAATGCAAAGTGTCAGATGCAGTGGTGTAAAGTACGCCACCACTGGACTCTAGAGCAGTGGAGACATGTTCTCTGGAATGACGAATCACGCTTCTCTGTCTGGCAATCCCATGGACCAGTCTGGGTTTGGCAGTTGCCAGGAGAACGGTACTTGTCTGACTGCATTGCGCTAAGTGTAAAGTTTGGTGGAGGGGGGATTATGATGTGGGGCCATTTCTCAGGAGCTGGGCTTGGCCCCTTAGTTCCAGTGAAAGGAACTCTTAATGCCTCAGCATATCAAGACATTTTGGACAATTTCATGCTCCCAACTTTGTGGGAACAGTTTGGGGATAGCCCCTGCCTGTTCCAACATGACTGTGCACCAGTGCACAAAGCAAGGTCCATAAAGACATGGATGAGTGAGTTTGGTGTGGAAGAACTTGACTGGCCTGCACAGAGTCCTGACCTCAACCCGATAGAACACCTTTGGGATGAATTGGAGTGGAGACTGCGATCCAGGCCTTCTCGTCCAACATCACTGTCTGACCTCATAAATGCGCTTCTGGAAGAATGGTCAACAATTCCCATTAACACACTCCTAAGCCTTGTAGACAGCCTTCCCAGAAGAGCAGAAGCTGTTATAGCTGCAAAGGGTGGGCCAACATCATATTAAACCCTATGGATTAAGAATTGGTTGTTACTCAAGTTCATGTGCATGTGGAGTCAGGTGGGCGAATACTTTTGGCAATATAGTGCAAGTCCGTTTGGTTGGCCATTACCAGTTTGTCAGTTAGTATCTGAAAGTCCCACAGGATCGTAGCTTGGTCATTCTCAACCACCTTTGGAGGTGTATCCCATTTTGACTTTGGGACTTCCCACCTGTAGTCCTGCCTGGTATGGTAGAGTCCCTGCCTCTTATAATGTAAATGGGTTGGGGTTAGATGTTAAACTTAACCCTAGTGCAACTTCTGGAACATGTTGAAAACTTCCAGCTGCAGGTGATATTATGCAAATCTTGGTTGCAATCCACCATGTTGTCTGCAGCCAGGTCTCACCCCTGAAAAGGCTGCTGAGGGTGTGGTAGTGGATACCTGAATTTCGCTCAGGATCAATAATCTATCTATCTATCTATCCATCTATCTATTTGTGTATGAGACACTTGTATTACCAACAAGTATTCTCCATGCCATATTTAAATGTGCAGTGATATAGTGGAACTGTTAGAGATAGAGCTGTTTTATTAGTGACAGGTGACAGTTAAAGTAAATTCCATATTGTTAGATGGTTTATAGCTCACTGGCTGTGGACAATAAGCAGCATTTATATTAAATTACGACATTACAGCATACTGTACTTCCATGTTTTCTACATTCTTGCAACGAAAGGTGCTCATCCATATTCACCCACTGTTTGGATATTAGTGCTTTAATTATACAGTAGGTTACAAGCTTGTGATTAGTATGGAGTTTGTGTTGCTCAGGGGAGGTAGTAAATACCTTCCAAAAATCTCACTTCCATAAAACCAGACCTCTTTCAATTCAGCTACTCCTATTTTTTAAATGTAGAAGTGGCTGTTCTGAAATTGTCTTTACCCTTTTATTAAACAAGCTTTTATTTGGTCTCCTTAGCTCTCTGACCCACACTGCCACTGACGTTATTTGCTTTTTATCAAGTGTAGGTATTAAAAATTCTATTTAAATTAGCCAGAGGTACCGCTTCACAATTGTATGTCTCCACCAACCAGTCAAATCCATGGAAATAGGACAGATGTGAGGTCACTGACCTTGACCTTTGACCACCAAAATCTAGTGAGTTCCTCCTTGGATCCAACTCAACACTTGTGCCAAATGTGAAGAAATTGCATCATGGTGTTCATGGCATTCCACGCTCACAAGATTGGGCCGATGTGCATATGGTTGGACAACCCGAATACATAATGCCTCCAGTTGCAGCTATTGCCAGTGCAGAGGCATAAAATGGATGTGATCATAGAGACACTAATTAAGGTAGTTAGTATTGTACTGATCATTTTTTGTTTTCTCAACAGAGAGAGGTAACGTGACTGAGATTTTTTTCACGCATTGAATGTAATGCAGAATGTAGCATAGTGTGTAACTCCGTACTGCCTTAACATTGGTCCTGGAGGAGCTTTTAAACTACTGTTTCCAAGCTTATGATATGATTCCACTCATACTTTCAAAGGTGTTCCCCTGTACATTTTTCAAGGTTTCCCACCAGATAATTTATTCATTCTTAAGTATAGCAGACATTAAATTGCTGCCACCTACAGACAGAAATAGGGAATTACTTGTCTTCGGGACAATTGAAGATGCTTGTTTTTGTACTATATGAAGAAAACATTCATAGTTTCTTTTTCTTTGCAGACAAAATTGCACTTTGTAATTGTGTCTGACAATCTGTTCTCACACATGACTGTTTCAACCAAAAGGTCAAAGAATAGAACTTGAAGCAACCTTGCAAACTACAAAGAAAACGCTGCCGACATTATTGTTACAGCACTGAAGAAGAGGCTGTACTGTAACTTATATCCCGTCTAATATGCTTATGTCTTCCTTTTGACTTATTTTGCACTGCTGCAATTTAATCAAAATTTGGTCTGAAACATGAAACAACAAAGTTGAATTAACCTGAAAGAACAAATGAAATGATTCATTTTATCATGTTTTTTTCTTCTTTATTCTTAGAGGTTTTTTTAAGCTCTTACAGTACTGTAAGGGACACACTAGCTCTCACACTCACTTGGAAACAATGCACACACTTGTTAAAGGGTTGTTTAAATGGATATAAATGATGATCAAACAGAAAAGCCCTGAACCAGATGGCTGACGGGAGAAACTATAGGTGACTCTTTGAGAGCCTTCGCACCTCACCACCCCACCATTTGTGTTCACAATGGGGTATAAAATGAATGCAGCTACTGAAGTGTTATTACTTTTTATTAATTCTACTTTGTGTTGTTCCTTTTATAAAAGCCTGTTTTACAGACATACATGCATGACTGTATATGTGTTACTGGATTACTATTCTTGTCCCACAGATAGTTTCCATACACAAAATGTTTAACTTCAATCACTCTAAGTATTCCTCAGTGGAAGACTCAGAATCTTTCCCTCAGGCATATACCCAAAACACAAGAACAGATGTTTCCCTCTAGGACTAACCATTTCACTACACAGATGCACAATGCAAATGTGGCAGGGTGGAAATAGTTCCCCTTCACATCCTGACCTGATCTTCAACAATAGCCTCTTATTTGCGCACGTTCATTTTCCCTGGCTGTTAAAGAGCCATCAGAGCATATTCAATTTTAGAGTCACATTGAGATCTTAGAAACAAAAAAAACTGAAAGACCATTGTGGAGCTAAGAGATTCTGCTCGTATAGTTACACTAGTTTCCTTTTTTTTGCCACCTTGGGGCAGCGTGATAAAGTGTAATCACAGCACCGACATGTTATTGCTTTACTATCTAGAACTATACAGTGAATATGTTAGTAAACAGTGGCTTTTCCACACATCAAGGAGACATAGAGCAACATTCATCTGAAGTTGTATCCACTTAATTAATCAAAGTCCAGTATTCACTTTAGCTGTGTTTTGGTCTCACCTAACTCAAGTACAGATTTTTGGGGGCTTTGTAGGAGCTAAATGCTCTGATATTTTCACCAGCTAGTTGATAAACTTTGTCTGTCTGTCCTGTTGCTCTGGGCAGGTAGTGTAAACCTGGTTTAAAAAGTTTGTTTGCCAAAGGTAGTTTCCTTTCATGTGCATGTAGTGAAGTTGCAGGGGGTAAAAACTGATACAAGCAGCTGAAAGATAATAAAAATGCCCCAGCAGAGCCAGGCAGTAATTTTCTTTGTGTTCATCACTGCAAGTGACACCTGTCACATTGTAACATTATCATTTGCTCCATCGTTGTTGACTTATATTCCTCACTTTTCCCCCTTATTTTACTCTCTTTCAGTCGCCAAACAAGCCCACCATCCCTCAAGAGAAGATCCGACCACTGACTAGTCTGGACCACCCCCAAAGCCCTTTTTATGACCCAGAGGGAGGGGCCATTACACCTGTGGCTAGGGTTTTGGTGGAACGTATTGCTAGGAAGGTACAATGTAGATTGTAAGAGTGTGTGTGCATGTACGTCTGGTCAGTAACTGTAGTCAGAACTGTTTTGTACACTCAGCCACTTACACCTGCAAGGCAGGTAACACATGACAGACTTTATGGTAGGGTTCTTACTAGCTGGGCTGCACACACTGTACACATTGTTCTGGTTTGAAAACCACAGTCCACATTAGTAGCCTGGCTGCCTTTATCAGGTATGTGACCCTTGGCCTGAGAGTCTCCCTGTTATCACACCAGCAAAGTTCCATACCTGCATGATATGGTGACAACTGGTTGAAAATTTGAGGAAGAACTGGCAACTTTAAATTTTGAGTTAGAATTTTTTAAGGACTAAGTAGAAGCAGTATTTGTAAGGTAGAAAACAAAATTTCCTACCTAAAGGCTGCCCTTTTCCTTTTATGTGCAGGGAGAACAGTGCAATGTGGTCCCAGACACCATAGACGACATTGTAGCTGATATTGGACAAGAGGAGAAAGAGGAGGGTACAGTACATGCACTGCCACACACACACACACACACACACACACACACACACACCCTTTCTTGATTGCATCCTTTCAGAGGAAAGACTCCAAACAAGATACAATAGATTAACCTAAAGGGTTTGATGAAACATCAACATATTATTGAAAACCTCTCATTACATGATATTGCATTCCTTTATGTTCTTTGAACTTAACCATTTATTCAGTTCATTGTGTTTTATAAACATACACTTCAAGCCATGTAGCTCACAGGCTGAGCAGACACTCTCTGCTCAGTGTCTATTCATTGTCTTATGATGCTCAAGGACACACATATAGCTCATTACAGAGACAACTGGCTTAAGCTGAGCATCAGATTTGAGGTCAGAATATACTGTACATCTGGCTTAGCCTTGTCTCCGCTGTGCTGTGGGGCCGTCACTACTATGGAGCAACTCACCTGCATCTATGAAGCATACTTTATATTCTGTTATGCATTTCAGATCTTGTCACTTGGGACAATGGCATTTTAGCAGTGCTGCATATCAAATCTGTTTGTGGCCGCCACTGGAGTGTTGTAATAAATAACCACAACAAGAGAAGGAACAAGTACATTTTGTTTCTATGTACATCTCTTTCTATTTCATTTTCTTTTTTTCATCTTTTCACAAAAAGCTGCAGCACAAGTTTGTTTAATTTGTCACCCACTGCTCGACTGCCAGTACCAGAATTCACAGTTCCACGCCTCTCTAGCCGAGTGAGACAGAGACAGCATTTCTGATATTTCCCCAAAAACATCTTTTTTTCCTCTTTAATATTACAAAGCTAAAATACACTTCAAAACAAAGTCACATGCTTTTTCACTGTAGATAAGGTAGAAAAAAATGAGTGCTTAAAATGTGATTTCAGTTAAGTTAGGTAAGGAATATGGTGTTCAATACATGCTGACTTTAAACATGAGACAGAGTGTGTTGGTTTTTTTCATTAGTTAAATTCTACAAAGTGCAATACTGAAAAGAGAGAGGCATACTACAAAACTATCCAATGACTTTACCAGTGACCCAGTGTAAATTACTTCTCACATCAATGGCTGTGCACTGGTTATACCATAACCCTTAGTTAGGAAAAATGTTTTTTCATTATTTGGGGGAATTTTTATTGGGGAAAATATTCATTAACTTCATTGATATACTGTAGTGTCATCAAAATAACTTCACACATTAATAGCCATACAACACTTAGTTTGGAAAAAAAGTGCTTTTGTATTATTTTGGTGAATTTTTATTGTGAAAAATATTAATTAACTTCACTGGTAGACAGTTGTCTCACCAGTTTCACTGATCATTATTGACAAACTAGAAACCCCATGAAATTGAATTATTTTGTGTCAGAATGCAGGGCAAAATGTAACACAGACTTTTCATGTGGTTGCACAAGGTCAACCAGCGTGTCCACAGTCACACCACAGTTGCTAGTCATGGTCTCCTGCACAAATTCAGAAAAATCTGTCTGTGTTTTGAGGAAATATGTGCCGAAGACAGTTTTCAGAGTGCAAAAGTAGTTTTTTTCATCACAGGTATTTTTCAGTTAGTGAGGTATATGTGTAAATCACAAATCTAACCTTACATTACTTCAATCACCATCCTGTTGCCTACAATGCTGCACTGTTTTTTAAATTATTTCACAAAATTCAAAATGTTTAGGTTGTACCTTGTGACCCCTAGTTATATGAACAATTTACAATGAGATTCAACTGTCCTACACTAGCCTACACGTTTATGTCATACAACGGTATCTAGTGGCTATCCATCGTCAAAGCCTCTTCATTAGTAGACGTAATGAAATGCTAATCTGTTTTTTGTTTTTAAGTCTATCACATCAACAAAATGAGCTCCAGTATTGCTCATCCTTACCTTCATCAGAGGTGGAATAGGTCACACAGGCAGAAGATTCACACTGCAGGGAATTACAAAAATTATGTGCCTGTGTGGATGATTATTTTCTGAAGTTCCTTTGGGCATAATAGCCTCTTGTGAGCTATTAAATGCATAACTCTACATAGAGACATCACACACAGGCCTACACTATACTACAAGGTAAAATTCCCAGTCAAAAAAAGTGATCATGTCGCTTATATATTTGTTACAGTGAAGCTCTGGTTACTTAATAATAAGCTAATTCCTGTGAATATTACACATAACACAGGCCATCAGTCATCACCGCTGAACTGAGAGTTAATATCTGCCATAAACAATAATTCCTATGAGAAATATGAATAGTTTTACACCTTCTGTTGGAGCGAGCACAGTGGTCACTGTCTGTGCATGCACACAGTAAAAACAAATTCAGAAATCAAACAAAAACAAAATAAGACTTTTTGGTTTTATTTTTTATTTGATTTCCCACTTTATTATGAAAACAAAATAAATATGCAGCTCTGCCGCATAGCAGGTAAGTAGCTTACTTACGGCGGAGGACAAAGGAGCAGGGTACAGCACATGCAGTGGCGATGAGAACTCAAAAACAATGAAATACTCAGAGCAGGTAAAAATAGAAAACACACCGGGAAACATGGAGGAAATTCGGAGCGTGTCAGCGTAAACAGTAGAGAAGTCCGGTAGAAAGGTCAGGAGCTGGGCGAAGATCAGGGTGTGCAAGTCAGGACGTGTAACCGGCAATAAACCAGCAGGGAATCAGTTGGACAAGATATTCACAAATCACGCTCTTCTCTTTCTCTTGAACTCCATTCCTTTCTTTACTCACTTACTGTAGATGTCACTCTGTAGCCTTTTGTGGTCCACTGCCTCTGGTAATCACCTTTGGATGCATGTTAAATAATCAGCCCAGTCCCCTATTCCTCAGCCGTCCTCTATCTAACAAATGAGTTCAGCTGCTTTAGAAGAATGACATACTGTAGAAAAATTAGTTTTGTAAAAGCAAATATAACCGCTAATGATGATGTGATCCAAGTCAGTCACTGAATTTGCAGAAAAATTTATTGAATTTGCCTTCTTCTTCTTCATGCTTGTCATGCCTCCATCTCTCTCTCTTAGACGACACCCCAGAGACATGTATCTATTCAGGCTGGTCTCCCTGGTCAGCGTGTAGCAGCGCTACATGTGAAAAAGGCCGCAGGATGAGGCAGAGGATGCTGAAGGCCCAGTTGGACCTTAGCGTGCCGTGTCCCCACACCCAAGATTTTCAGCCCTGCATGGGCCCGGGATGCAGTATGGAGGGTAAGCACACACAAACACACAGAAGTAAAGTACAATGGTCTAAAAGTATGAAAGGTTAGTTTAGATAGTGGGGGACCACAGTTTGTAATTCCTGCAACCTACAGAAGAAGTATAAATAAGGTAACACATTCAATTAATCAATCATAATCTTTTTTGCCAGGTATAATATACCGTATAAGTACAAGGAATTTGACTCCAGTTCAGTGTATGTACAAAACAAGAGTATGGTATGTACAGTGATTATGCCTATAAGATATTACACTGAGGGTTGTTGTTTTGTTATACATTCATTGGTTAACTGTTCATCAGTGTAATAGTCAGGGGAGGAAATTGTCCTTGTGCCTGGTTGTCTTGGCGCACAGTGATCTGTAGCTCTGTCCAGAGGGGGGGAGTTCAAACAGTTTGTGTCCAGGGTGTGAGGGGTCTGCAGAAATCTTCTGTGCTCTCCTTTTGACCTGTCAGGTGTACAGGTCCTCCATGGAGGGCAGGTTCACACCGATGATCTTTTCTGCAGGTCTGACTGTCTGCTGGAGTCTGTTCCTGTCCTTGTTGGTTGCTGAGCCAAACCAGACAGAGATGGAAGTGTAGAGAACAGACTCAGTGATTCCTCTGTAGAACTGTATCAGCAGCTCCTGGGGCAGGCTGAACTTCCTGAACTGGCACAGGAAGTACATCCTCTGCTGTGCCTTCTTGGTGATGGTGCTGATGTTGGATGTCCACTTCAGGTCCTGGGAAATAGTGGAGCCCAGGAACTTGTAGGACTTTACTGCTGATACAGTGCTACAATGATCTTGGAGGCTTAGTTTGTGCTGTTGTTGAACTGTACTGCATTATTTCTATTATGCGGTCTAGCCTCACTGATTTAAATGGACAAAATTATAGAAACACCTACCGGTATTACACACCACAAACTACAGTTGAATCAGTACCTCTTTAAAACCGTTTCTCAGTGTCCAGCACTTTAATAAAGAAGCCTATTTCTTTCTGTTTTCAGAAATAATGTAGATTTACCAAACTCTCACATTGATTTTTTGTAACTCATAAAAAAATTTTGAGCCGAAAACACAACATTTCCACACATACATCTCTTGTCTTATGAATACCACACGTTTGCTTTTCCTAAACTGTCTTTTCTTTTACCATTAAGCAGCAACAGAAAACACTTCCCTTTGCATTCTAGTTTTCTCACAACATGCATCAAAACTAGGTATCAGATCTTATTTAATGCAACCCAGATAAACTATGACTGGACTTTAAATCTTCTTCTTCTTCTTCTTCTTTCGGCCGATCCCATTAGGGGTCGCCACAGCGAATCATCTGTTTCCACCTAACTCTATCCTCGGCATCCTCTACTCTCACCCCAATTAACTTCATGTCCTCTTTTAGCACATCCATATATCTCCTCTTTGGCCTTCCTCTTGACCTCTTGCCTGGCAGCTCCATCTCCAACATCCTTCTACCAATATAACCACTATCCCTCCACTGCACATGTCCAAACCATCTCAATCTGGCCTCTCTGACCTTGTCCCCAAAACAGCCGACCTGAGCTGTCCCTCTGATGTGCTCATTCCTAATCCTGTCCATCCTGGTCACTCCTAAAGAGAACCTCAACATCCTCATCTCTGCTACCTCCATCTCTGCCTCTTGTCTTTTCCTCACTGCTACAGTCTCTAACCCATACAGCATAGCTGGTCTCACTACTGTCTTGTACACCTTTCCTTGGATTCTTGCTGACACTCTTCTGTCACACAACACTCCTGACACCTTTCTCCACCCACTCCAACACGCCTGCACTCGCCTCTTCACCTCTTTCCTACACTCCCCATCACACTGGACTGTTGACCTAATCCTAATAAACATGAAATGTGATTAAACAATGTGAATATAAACTATCATGCTGGACTTAGTCCTCTACAAACCTCTCCAAAAGTTTTGCTTTGCTTTTCAAGCATCTGTATTTTTTTTTTCAGCAGCAGAAATGGCTGAGAAGAGGAAGGGGAAGGGGGCGGAGCCTCCGTCCTCCATCACGTCTCAAAAGCCAATGAGCTCCTGCAGTGAGCTGTCAGTCAGGTAAAGCTACACCCTGTCAACAAGCAGCGGCAAAGCCATAAACAAAGGGGACAAACACACTGTAAAAGGTTTTTAGCACAGTATTAAAACTTTGTCACATTGTCACGTGTTACACTGAAACATCTTATTGTGTGTATAGGATAATACATTTTGGTATTTATATTCCTGATTGTACATGTTGGCACTGTATT